AGGCTAGTAAAATTTTCATACAGTCAGCTTTCACACAGTACCACTGTACACATCCACACAAAACACATTCATATTATCCACATAAATTAGATTTTTTAATTAAAACATTATACAAAAATGAAAATATATTTTAACACAATAATTAATTTTTAATTTAGGTTTTTTTTTAATTTCAACCCATCTTAACCCCCTATTTTTAATGAGATTGGTTAAAAATCAATAGGTTTTGTCCCCTTATAGAGCTTGATTTTTCCTTAAAATTTTCAAGTTAATATAATTTTTCGTTTTTGACAAAGTAAACCTATAATACTCTTCACAGATTACTGTATGGAGAGTAGAAAAAAAAATGTATAAGGTAACGTAAACAGTTTAAAGAGGTCAACAATAATATTCAACTTCTTTTATCAAAGAATACTAAAAGTTTGAAATAGCAGCACATAATTGAACATTTACAGAAATCTGTGAACTAAAATAGTGAGATACACATCGTAAAATGTTATCACACTTAATTTTCCATATTACCCTTTCTACGTGTATTTCACAGCACATTCCAAAGTATTCTTGCTCTCGCTACTGTCCTACCCTCATTGCTGAATTTTGCATGTCCATGTTTACTAAAAAATAATGTGTTTTAATAAATAACAGAATAATAGTAATTTTGTTTAAATAGGTAAATCGGCTTCATCTGTATTTTCAAATTATTGTTTGATTGTAGAATATTAATGTTTTGATATGTACTTATAGGATTGATTACCCAGAACATGTAGATATGTGGGATGTGACTCGTTAAGTGCCTAATCAAAATTTATGTTTGATACTTATTGCTCTTTTCGAGACATAATTTATTACCAACTGTAATAGTATATTACACACCGAGGTGGGAAGAGTTTCATTCCTGTCGTGAGATTAGTTAGATCAAACTTCCTACCGAGGTTTGTATACTATTTTATTTACAACCATCATATTTCGATCAAAGTTAATAAATCTCTGTTTCGTTCTGAACATACCTAAAATATTACATTTAACGACAAATTACCAAGCGCGCGGTTTTCTCAGAATAATCAAGTAAATATATTGTTACTGTGATTATGGGGTAAACAACTGTCACCAATATAAATAAATGTCAGATAAAGCCGGATATTAAATTCGCGAATAATAAATATCAATAAGTAGTTTGTTGTATTTTAGTTCATTGTTGTTTTTTATTGTTTGCCATTAAATAGGTATTATAAAATTTGTCAAAAAATGTGTTATTTTTTTTAAATATAAAAATATTCATCTAGAATAGATGAAATGAGGGCGGGAAGTGAGGGTGGGAAGTGAGGGCGGGAAGTAGAGGTGTGTAATGTGACACTTCCCAACCTTCAATGACGTTAGTAATGACAACATTACATATATGGTTGTAAATAAACTAATTTACCAACAACCTTATTTTTATTTAATACCGCAGTGATCCAAATTACCAATACATCTAATAATTTTGAAAATACTAAATTATACAAACAAGGCAATAAAAAAAATGTTATTAAAATAAAAGATTTCAGGGTTGTATGCAACACACAATCTAGGCTAGAGAACACGATTGATAATTACAGGCAAACATAACTTTATATAAACTATTTAAACGTACATACCATTTCGCATAGATAAAGTTTCTCATTATGAGTATATTAAATTAACTGGTTGATCCATTTTTCCGATTCAGACTTTTAAAGTGAAAAACCATTTGTCTCTTTATCTTTATCAAACGTTTGTTGTACATTTACATTTCCATCAGATAATCAAATTTTTTCTTTTAGCGGGTTTTGTGGGAAACAAAAAATTTACAAATTTTTTGCTTACTTCTTACTTCATAGTATTTACAGTTGGGTACAAAATAGACCATTTTAAAGTAGTCTTAGAATGGTCTTAGACACTGAAACAAAATATAAAACAAATTAGATTCGTAAAACTTCGTTATAGTTAAATAAACAACAACTTTAAAAATACTTTTATTTACCTTGCCTTAAAGAAGTTTTTCGGGAACAATGGTTGAATTGACACACATACTTTCAATTTATTAATGTCACAGTTCTTAATTAAACACATTTTTTTAAATGAGCACAAATAAAATAATGACAGTTTATTTGATTTGGTACAGTGTTGCCAGAATATGTTTTTGTTATGTACCAGATTTGTCCGAAAAATGTACCAGATTCCTTAAATGTACCAGATTTTTCTAATTCTATTTGCAGTGACATCTAATTCATTGAAGAGGAAAAAAGGGGGTCTTTATTGATAACGAACCCAAACAAGGAACACAATGTATATATTTTTTACACGTGAACATTGATGCACGCAGAATGTACTTCATCTAGTACAATTGTGAATTGTACTAGACTGGCAACGTTGTTTGTGAGCGGCGCGCCAATTAATGTGTTCTTTTGCAGTTTGAAGGATTTGTTGGCGTGTTGTCTTCTCTTTTAGCTATATGCATTCGCCATATCGTCTCACTCGTGTTAGGCTCACTCATCATAATGCTCCACAGATACAGTATACTTAGGTATACTGTGCCACAGAGACGCGATCAGCCAGAGGACAATGATGTACCAAAAAATATAGATTAACACGTATGAAAATAAAAATATTAAAATTAATTTTATATTTTTATGTTATTTATGTAATTTTAAAATAATGTGTTTTTATGAAATTCAACTGGGTGTTCACTGCACAAATGAACCAATGGAGAAACCGAGGGGCCCTTGGATAATATTTGTGATATCCAATCTTATTCTATAGTCTATTTTTATGTATGAGAGAGTATTAAAATAATAAAGCGTTCGTAATCCATAGGCGTACCACTTCTTTTAGTACAGTTAAAATATTTTTTGAAGTTATTCCTCGAGTATACACTTATATTTTCACCTAATTAACCTGCTTATAACTTCTAAACAGCTGAAGGTAAAAAAGTGCAATTTTATCTAAAATGTTTTATTTTTCCACAAGGTATGTTAAGAACATTGTGTCAAACGGTTTATGTAGGTATAAGGGTTTAAAATTTGACTTTTAAACAACGTTACGTTCATAAATAATAATTTTAATATAAAAACTACTTCTTACCTACAAATCCAAATCAGAATCGAAACCAGAAGATGAACTGTCGCAACCAATATTTACAATGAGTGGCTCGATCATTTCATCAGTAATATTGTCCAACTTCCACATTTTCTCTTCTTCTTTAATCGTATGATTTACTGCCTTTTCCCAGTTTTCAGGCTTCACATTATTTACAGCCTCCAAAAACAACTGTTTAACGTCACTCATTTTAAAAGAATTATTTTTTCTTGAAACTTCTTCCTTTATCTGTGCCCATATCAGTTCAGTCGGGTTTACTTCGCAATGATATGGTGGTGATCTAACCACCGTCATCCCACGATTTTTTGCAATTTCATCAATTTCATATTTTTTGAATTTCTCTTTATGATGGGAACACAAATGATACAGTTCTTTTCTCACAGAACCGGGATGGAACTTAATATTCTTTGAATTTAGCCAATTCTGTAAATCTTTTTTTAACCACTTGGTTGTGGGCATTTTTTCTATAAGTCTCGAGTGATAACTTGCATTATCCATTACTATTATACAGTTCTGAGGAAGAAGATCTATAATTTATTCGAACCACTCTTTAAAGACATCAGCATTCATGTCCTCATGGTAGTCACCGGTACGAGTAGATTCAAAAGTCAATAAACCACCTTTAACAAAACCTTTTGAACTACCGATGTGTACTATTATTAGTCTGCGCCCCTTTCCTGATGGTGGATTTAAACCAGTAGATAAATTATTTAAAAAAGCCTGTCTTCGACTTGTAACAGTTTCATCTTGCCAAAATTTATTTGATTTATGTCCCTCGGCGATCCATGTTTCATCTAAATACAGTATATTTCTTCTTTGGTTTCTCATTTCCTTTATTCCTTAGATAATTTCTTCTCCATACTACAATATCGCTTCTTTCTATTAAAATAGACTTTCTGGAATGCTTTTTCCATAGAAAACCTATTTCTTTTAAAAGTTTCCATAGTGTGCTTCGACTCATTTCAGGGTAATCCTTATCATCTTGAACCGTGGCAAGAACTTTGTCTGCTGTCGGAAATTCTTTTCTAAAGAAGAACGCATCATGCACTTTCCTTCGAAGTCTTTCTTTCAAAAGATTTTCTAATTGAAATTTTGGTTTTCCTGGAGCTTTACGTGCTGTTTGAAATTCACCACATTTCTCTTCTTTAACAACTCTGTAAATCGTAGATTTCCCAACACCAAGCGTACTACTAATTCCACTGTGTCATCAACATTTTTACATAAATGTTTGTAAATGATTTAAAACAATTAAATATTAATATTTATTCATTAACTGTTAAAGGACCGATTTTTTGTCGTTTACGCGGCCCTTCCAAATTTTCCATAATCACACTAGAATTCACACTGTACCTTGCAAGTTGCAAATAAACGACATTTAGTAAACTGTCAAGAATACACAACTTGGACCTCCTTAAATGGAAAACCTATAATCGCATTTTCGGTGAAATTTGTTGGGAAGGTATTTATCTACTTATAATTCGATTACTGTAAGAAATTCTTGGAATTAAAATAAAACAAAATTGGCAAATAGATACTTATTGAAAATAATCTTAAGATACGGCTATGTAATCTTTAATACACAGGGCTTTTGGCCTGTCCAAACCTTTTTCTATTGTTCTGTACAGCTTATGTTTATAAAGGACCAATAAAAGACCCAAAACTTGTAATAGCTCAGGTACATTTATTACAATTTTAGGAAATATTTAGATTATTCTGTAAAAATATTTAAAATGACCGTACTAAGTGCTAAGTTAAGAAATGCTGTTTTATTACTCTCTCATACATAAAAACAGACTATAAAACAGTTCATACCTTCAATCATGCAAATTTTGATATCATCTTGAAATTGTTAATAAACCATTGCTATATCCGAATTTTCTTTTTAGAAATGATACTCATTCAAAGTTATCCAATGGACAATTTTCAGAAACATTAGACTGTGGAAAACCAGTCAACTTTACATACTTTGACAACTTAGTAGGCGTCATGAACAGAAATAGACATCCTGTAGTTCCAGAACCACAAGCTGTGCTCTACTTTACCAAGAATTTTGGAAAAAGTAAGCCCGATGTTAAAAATTTTGATATCGATGCCTTGGAAAGGAGGTTGAAAAAGGCAAAAAGAGAGGTAATATTAGCTAGAATTAAATAAATAGTGCATGCATCAAAACTGTTTAGAAATGTTAAAAATTAAATTGTTAAATTATTAAAAATTTCTGCAAAAAAATTCAAATTGCAAATGAGATTATCAATTAAAAATTTATACCTTATAATTAAAATGATAACTATGCAAAATAATATTTTAGAATACCAGTTTTCAGGGATTTTGATTCTACTACAAATAATAAAATATACAGGGTGTCCGGAAATTGCGTGTGAATGGAGCTACTACAGACTTATGGGTTCAAAATAAGTTGATTTAAGCAAACTTACCAACACACCCCACAAAAATTAACGCATCATTTAAATTTTCTTACAAAACGTAAAATTTTTCCAATTTTTTTTTAAAGTTTGGTGTCTTATAAATTAAGAACTATTTGTATGCAATAATGGCAAAAAATAAAACTTAAGAAGGGACCAAATAAATTTATTCGAAAAAAAGTAATTTAGGTGCAATCGATAAATAAAACAAAATTAATACCTTGTATTACCACCCCGTGCTCTAAGTACTGCCAGACATCGACGTGGCATACTTAAAATCAGGCTTTGCATCAATTGTTCCGGAAAATTGTCCCATTCCTCGGTTAGAGCATTTTGAAAATGATTTAAGGTGTTAGGAACAATTGGTAGATTTCGTACTTGTAGTGATAAATTGTCCCAGACATGCTCTATTGGATTTAAATCAGGACTTCGAGCTGGCCAATCCAAGAATTTCCGTTACATATCTTGCAGCTGTTAAATTTCCTCCCACAACTGGTACTAACTCTGTACGAGCTGACACGTTGAGTACTTGATTTTCGTTCTTTTTTATTTCATTAGTAACTAAGTACTGACTACCTTAATCGGTACTAATTAACATTTTGTTCAATACTTTAACAAAAATTACCAGTTGAGCCCCTTACGTTAAAGGTTTGTTTAGGACTATTAATAAGTTTAGTTAAATCAACAGATTTTAAGCTCAATTTCCGAACACTCTGTATACAATATGGTAATACTGCTGAAAATTTTAATTAATTTATGGTTAAAAATATCTTACATAGGTAATATTTTTTGTTTAATGATAAGATTCATTAAAATACCTGCGGATAATGCAAATAATGCAAACCTTGAATATTTCTCTTATCAATATCCAAAGTATCTCATTAATGTAAATATATGTAATTTGTTTTATTGTCCTTTTTGTACTCCGAATATGAATCATAAAACGTTGTATAACTAATGTGGGTCTTTCAACCTAAATAAAAATCTGACGTATAACAAATAAATATTGAAAACTAATACCTGTAGGGTTCACATTTTCAAAATATTTTAATAATCATAAAATAATTTTGCAGCATTACAATTATCCAAAATCATAAATTTTATTGCATATCTCATAATCTCTAATTATTTTATTATACTTTGAAGTTCTGAACACAGAAATACAATAAAATTAAAAGAAAAATAACCATCCATCAAAGTTCATTGGTCTAAATGTATATATGTCTTCGAATTTTAACTACTTATTTAATTATCTCTAGGAAATTTTGATGATAAATCAGGGTTCTAAAATTTTCATATTTACAACTGTTTCATATTGATGAATGGGTGTTTAATTCCTACAGAAACCAAAAGAGTTGATCGGACATGAACAACTCAATTTTTTTACAGAGTAAGTTACATTTATTATTTTAATTTCCTCAGTACTAATGGCAATTATTTATTTTTTGTTTAAAATTTTTCTTTTAAAAACCTTTTCAATTTTGTGAGGCTACTACTTTTTTCTTAATTTTCTTGTAATTATAAAAACTCCTATTAAAACCATATTTTCTTTAATTTTATACCTTCTAACCTATTGACAACGTAAAATTGTTGGTATTTTAAGACAGCGATTGTTTAAAACTACGCTGGTATTCGTCCGTCTAAATGGAGCCCGAAAGCTGTTTTTGTCCTTATATTTTCCGAGGTAGAACTTATAAGTACCAAATTTATAATTTTTTTCCAGAGGCCGAAGTCTATTCAACTGTACAATCAAATTGGAAATTTTTGGAGGATAAAAGGGGATGCAAGCAAAGCTATTGAATGCTTTCGGAGGGCTCTAGCTGCTTCGCCTCACAACGCTGAGGTCCTTCTAAGTCTTGCTAGAATGTTGTTTTCTCTACAATACTTAGATGATGCCATATATTTGACAAGAAGGTCATTAGAAGTCCAGACTCCTGAAAAAGGTAATTAATTGTAAAAATCAGTAAGCTATAAGATAATTTAATAGGGTTTAAATGTCATTACATTTTCTTGGTTAGGAGCGTGGCAACAATATTTCACGTTAGGAGAGATCTTCAAGGCTTATGGCCACTACCAAGAGGCATCTATACATCTGCGGCATACATTGGAACTAAATCCAAAATTTGAACCTGCTCATCTGGCTTTACAAGAAATGGAAGCCATTCCCACCGCTACCATTCACATGTACACATTGGTTATAATAGTATGTTTGGTGAGTATTAAAATTATATATTTTTTTTAACTTGATTCTCTTAATGTCCCTTCTGAAGTTCTACAAGGAAATCTATTGCACTATTTGAATTGATATTAATGATGTGCCGCTGTGGGCTGAGCTCGATTAAATGGAATGTATCTTAAACGATTGTGAAAATAATGTACTTTATTATATTATCCAAAACATGACGTGACATTAGTAAATTCAATGACAATCAATAACAAGAAAAAGAACATGAAACTAAGGCTTATATACATGGGTGGAGAAACCTTTATTTTACTGCAGGCATCGAACATGGCCGTCCCCCTTGAAAGCTTTGCTTTCAAAAATCAGTCTATCGGCAGTATACAAACTTTAACCAGCGAGCGTTTGTAAATTTGTCCATTCGCTAGTCGAACTGACACCACACGTGTCATACCATTACCACAGATTACCCAGATGCGAAAGTTGACAAAGAACATCAAAATTAAGAGAGAGATAAATAGCCATACCCATTTAAAGGTCCCTCGTAGCAACTCGTTTCCACTCGCGTAGTTCCGAAGGCAACAGTTATTTCATTATGCGAAGTTGCCGATGCTCCTAAGTTTTCTGATGTTATGTGACATTGGAATTTAAGTCAAATGATAATGTACATACATTTTTTAGTTATCCCCACATACTTCTATTTTTTAGTACGTGGTTACCCCAGACGTTACATACAAATAACGTATAATTAAAATCCGCTAAACATAAAATAATACAAAACCATTTAAAGGTTTATAGTTTACATTTATCAATGACAATCGACACTTTAAAAAACTCGTGAAATTTTAATTTTTTATGTGACAACCTTGCTTAGGATGCTGTAAGTGAGATGACATTTCTGTGACATTCAGGACAATCAGGACCGGTCGTGACGCTTTGCGTTGTGTGTATTTTTGGACGAAAATATTGTGTATTTGTGTCTAGTCTTCTTCTGTAGATAAATCATGAGTAAAACGAAGAATATACGTCGTGGTGACATCTAGGGCACTTACAAAATGTCTTCGAATTAATAGCTGTAAATGTATGAACACTTTTCTACTGCAACTTTCGTTTTAGATAGCAACAATATTTTTATACATTTGAAAGGTTATGATATCAAATCATTATTTGGAAGTTTAAAAACACCAACCGAATGTTTTTATCAGTACATTTATCAGTTGGAATATTGCAGTTTTTAAAAAATATAGAAAATTACTTACCTTGTCCCACACTTGGAAATAATTCGTATAATTTGTTTAACCTTCACCTGACCTCGTGGGGTACGTACATACCCCACGCTCTTTCTCGTCGATTTTCGATATCTAAATCTTCGAAATCGAAACTCGTAACGACATCTATCGGTAGTCAAGGGATATACTTTTATACCTAAGCCAGTGGGATAGATAGAGCTCTCAAAATAAATACTTTTTAAAGACTCATGAAAACAATTATTATTCTTTTATAGTGATGTCACAGAAGAAGACAGCTAAAATTTCAGCCCTTTTTATCGAAAACAAAAAAGTTATATTTTTTTTTGTAAAAAACGTATTTTCTTCAAGCTTTTAAATTTTCCGGATTTTTTATGAGCGCTGATTTTGATTTTTTTTCAACTCGAACTATTCTACAGTTTAAAGTGGTATCTAAAGAGGATCTCTGAATTTTTTGAGACAAAATAATCAATATTTCAATGTTTACAAAGATTTTTAACACTGGGGTTCGTACGTACCCCACGAGTCCAGGTATGTTACTCAGGATGAGCATGCCAGGTGAAGGTTAATACAGTTCAAGGATTTAAACACCCTTGTCAACATTTTTCTAATGACTACTTTTTAAAGTTATTTATTTGTCTTCGAATATTTTACCTAATAAAATTCAGCAACATATATTTCAGAAATCAGCAAAAAAAATAGAAAGGTATGTATTTTAAGTAATGTCTTAATGAGTGCTTTAGATCTGATTTGATAAATATAAAACTAAAACCAAATTTAATGAATATTCATGAATAAATGTTCTATTTTGCATTTTCATCCAATTATTAGTTCAGAAGTATCAACCTACCAAACTATTTGTTCATAATTTGTTTTATTAGGATTGTGGCTACAGGCGATATAATTGTAATTTCCTGCTAATGTATGCAATAAGTATTCAAGCCTCAATTATTTACAAAAGTTGTATTGGTATACTTCTTAGTGATGAGTTTATATTGTATCCCAACAAACAATGAATTGCCGGGATATTGCTGGCCTTTTGCTGTAATTGAAGCAAAAATGAATGCGAGGTTTAAAAAATAAAAGGCTACTTTTGTCTTTTTAATAGTGGCTCAGCATTATGTTGGTTGATGAATGGGTGAGAGCCAGGTAAAAGTCAAAAGGCTTTTAACTGCCGCAGACCCAATCCTCCAACAGTCCAGGAGGGTTCCGTCCCGCGTTCATAGATGGAGACACCGATGATCACTTGCTACATACTCAACGAGTGGACATGAGGCCAGTTTGGGTTGATGGTACTCAATATACATTATAATTTCTTGCTCATACATGTTATTAATTTAGAATATATTATATAGCTGAATTAAATAAAATGTCTATAATATTCTAGGTATATTGGAATGCATTCGGTTTTATATTTATACTTCAAACAGTACTGCTGGTCAAAGAGGCACTATCGAATTGTACCTGGCACATGGCCTTTATTAGCAGTCAGTATTAATATGATAAAAGGCCTGCAATTTCCCGTTAACTTTCCATCTATAGGTCATTAATTGCCAATATATTTATTTCAACACATTAAAGAAAAAACGGGTCTTTTACTTGATTTTATGTCTAACAAAGCCCGCTTAATAAATTTTTAAAACCTTTATATTATAATTCGTTGCTTGTTATAACTTTTTACCTATAATAAAATTTTGAAAATATTAATACAAATCATATTCTTTTTCTTTTAAAATGTTAAAAAATGAAACTCATATCGACAACTTTTTTAACATACTAGTGCTGCTGCTACTATACATTAATTACCTAAACCAACCCTGGCATACAAAACGCATGGTTAGAAAAAAGTCATATTTAGTAAGACTGATTGAAAATAATTAAAATTGGCAACACCTATGCCATACCCATTTAAAGGTCCAAGGTCATAGAAATTAATTTCAAAATCCTTTGATCTTTTGCCGGGTTTTGCATCTGTTGTGGTTAATCTGTGCCATTACTACCTGGATGAAGTTGGGGTGCCATTACTACCTGGATGAAGTTGGGTTATTATTGTCTTAGGCCATCTTAATGGAGGTGTGTTGTCCACTATGAGTACTACTAGGCTTCCTACATGTGGCTGTTTATCTCCTTGATATTTCCATTTTCCTCGGTGAGATATTATCTGGATCAACGTGTCCAAAAGTGCTGATTTAACTGGATAAGTTGCTCATAATGCTTGAGCCGGTTGACTGGTACATCTTTAACATCTTTTTCTGGAAATCCCTTTAGTGATTCTCCCACCAGGAAATGAGCAGGTGTTAGGGGAATTAGGTCCTAAGGGTCAGTTGATATGGAGCACAGCGGTCTGGAGTTGAGACAGGCCTCTATTTGCACGAGCGCGGTGTACATACTTTCCGGTCTAGGACGTTTCGACGCGGCCATTTCGACGCAGCCGTTTCGACGCGGCCGTTTCGACGCCGGCCGTTTCGACGCCGGTCGTTTCGACGCCGGTCCGTTTCGACGCCAAGTGTATTTTTTTTAGGTAGGTAATAATTCATACTAAATAATATATTTGAAACGTCTCTTTTAATTTTATTATTAAGAATACATAATATAATTATGTGATATTGCTTTTAAATATTCGTTTATATTTCTCTTTTTATAATCGATTTTTAAAATCCTCTCGTCACAATCGCGATGGTTTTTTTATTTAGCTGGCGTCTGCTGGCCCAATAGTAATTGTTCATAAAAACAAGTCCCTTCCTGTTTGTAACTTTTTAAGTGCATCAATTAATTTCCATAGATGATCTGTGGACATTTCGTTTTGAAGTCGTCTGTGTGCAGCTTCGGCGTGATTGTTCGTTCTGTCTGTACCCTCCAAAACGAGGTTGTAGACAGACCACAATGTGATCGAAAAGAGTGGATTGCGCCTTCCTTGATCCTTGCGCCTTCCTTGAGGACGTCCTACGTATGAGTCCTCGAACCATTCTATTAGAGGTTGCAACTCATTAGACAATTCTCCAAATAAATTGTCGATTGCAATATCCATGTCTTCTTCAGGAACAAATGCCAAAAACCTCACCATTCGTGCATGAAGACTGAAATTAGCATCGGTATTATATCGACCCAGCAAATTCGTTTGCGCCAAATTGTTTTTTATATTTTTCACCAAATTAAAAAAACAACCTAGCAGCTCGGCATTTGGAAACTCTTCTTTGAAAACGTTTATGGCACCCAGTTCAAAATCGTATGAAATCTTCTCCGGATTTGCAGCTGGCTGTAAATGTTCCATCATACCAATCATTCGGGCATATGTAGTTTGCCGTTTGTTGGGCAGGAGAGCATAAAGAACAGGATGAACTCCCCGAAATTATTTAGTCATAATTATGTAGGTAAAAAATTGAGGCAGTTGGTTTAAATGTCCCATCAACAAACCAATGTTTTGAGTCCGTCAAAATCTGTAAATACAGGGTGTTTCTAAATTCAGGAGGTGATTGCTCGTATGAAATTAAGATGGATCTTTCCTATAACAAAATTTCCTCAGCCCACGCCTTTCCGAGATATCACCCTTAAAAGGTGGTGACTAAAATTGAGTTTTTATTTTTTTCTTCTAAAATTTCAGTAATGCTAGAAACTTGAAATTCTGCAATTTTCGTGCACCCGCAAAGGACTAACCACGGGTATTTTTTCAATATTCCTGTTACATTATAGGGGTGGTGAAATTAACAACCCTTACTTTATTTCATATCAAAACATTTTTTCGTGATGAAATTTTATGAAATAAAATTATAACTTAAAATCATTTTA